ATATGTTGAAATACCACATATATAATATGCCTTCTTCTAATTCTGGTATTAAACAAACCAAACCCTTGAAATACACTGCTTCAGTCCATACTGGAATCTCATTCAGTATTATCCCCTTCCATGAGAGAGATGGGGAAACTTGAGCTCCTAGTTGAGAATGAAACAAATTTCTGGACTCCTTTGGGAGGTGGGGTTGGAAATGTGTATCCTATAGTGCTGTTCCCAGCATCCCAAAGCACAGTGTAGAACAAAAATGATCAGCAGTTACCTTTGTTACTGCTTTTAACTTCAAGTACTTCAGGTAAAGTTTCAGAGTAGATGCCCAAGTTGGAAACATTCCATGGCCACGGAGAACAATTATATAATGAGCGCACTTCCATTGTCTGGTTATGATGAGGGCTAACTAAACAATCCACTGTTTCTGAAGGCTTTCTGCCGGACCAGGTCAAAAAAACAAGTGAAATACACTAAGCCACATTCATTAAAGGCCAAAAATTTAAAAAAACATGTAGGTGCCTGAAAATGCTGCCAGGAGCCAGTGGGATTTTGAAACGTGCCTAAACATTTTTGAAAATCCCACTAGGTGTCTATCTGCTTTCATACTCCTGGATTCTGCACTAAAAAAATAAAAATTCTGCGCATTTTATTTGTCAAAATAACACTGCATAATCACACCAGTTTCAAATATTTTGGTAAGTTATTTGAAAATACCGGTCAGCAAGTATGTCTGTAACAATACAGACAAACACAAAAATTCCCCCAGGAATAGAGTGTTAAAGAAACCTCTGTGACACCCAGTTCCTGTTTCTCTGCCCTCTTTCCCCCCCCCCGCCCCCAGAGCCCAGCCGAGAGTGCCAGACACCTACAACACTTCCCTCCTCAGAGCCCAGCCGTGCCCCCCCTTCCCCAGCCAATACACCTGAACCCCCTCCTCCCCAGAGCCCAGCCATGGCCCCCTCTTGATTCCTGTTACTAGAAAAGCCCCTTCTGATTTCAGCTCTGTACAAAGCATCACCCTGCGAAGTGAAGCATTCTGTGATAATGAGAAAGCGGGGGCTTGCAGCTGGGAATTCTTCCCCTACCATGTAGTCAGGCACATGCGTTCTAAAGTGCAAAGTAATGGTGCAATACAATCTACTGGGGATGACTCATGCAGTTTTGCTCTTGTCAAGGGATGTAATGATAATGAAGGGCTCCACCTAGGCAGGCCTAATAACCAGGGCTAAAACCTGTCATGCCTGCCAACTTTACAGGCAGTGAGCTCATTTGTTCCTCTCTGGCTCTGGTCTGTAAATCTGGCTCTAGGATTTTGTTGCTTTTTATGGGGCTTCAAACTTGGGGGAAATCCTGGAAATGAACTTAATTTTTCTAGTCATAAGAACGGCCATACTGGGTCGGACCAATGGTCCATCCAGCCCCAAATCCTGTCTTCCGATAGTGTCCAATGCCAGGTGAACAGCCACATCGGTTTGGACAAGAGCTCAGGGGTGACCCTGGGGGAATGTTTTTCCTGAATCCTGCTGCTCTTCTTTCCAGGCTGGTCGTTGGAGGTGGTGGAGCTGTGTAAGAAATACCAGAACAATACGGTGGTAGCCATAGACCTGGCTGGAGATGAATTGTTGCTGGCTGAGACCTTCCCAGAGCATAGGAAGGCTTATGAGGTTTGTTCAATGAGCTTCTCGAAAAATCTTGCATCACATTCTTTCTAGTTCGTGCAGACAGAGCACGGTACAAAGGGGATCTGGCAAGTAGTTCAGATCCAAAATGGCCTGTAAGACTTATACATGTCTTAAAATTTATAGAAGTGTTTTATTGGCATAGCAGAAATACTACTTTTAATTTGGTTTTCAAATTACTAATAGAGCATATACATAATTTAAGTATAAAGAGATGTTTTGATTTAAATGTGTCCCAGCCAGGGCCGGCTCCAGCTTTTTTGCC